CACTTGTATGACGAATAGCAGACGGGATAACCCCCATAGTCACGAGGATCTGCAATTCAGTGATGGAAACGGAAAACCCAAGCCCCGGGACTTGCAATAACGAACCACATAAGGCCCGTTAGATTAAGTGTGGTATTGAACTAGACGACAGTAAAGCTGCCTAGCACCAAAGTCGGGTGGCGGTGGCGGGGCTCGAACCTTAGACCATAGGATTCAAAACACGCCGGTGACAACGACCAACCCACTGTGCCACCACCACCCTTTGTATGATGGCAGCCAAAATATCGGATGTCAGGAACGGTTACCAGTTGAGAGACACGCCCAAAGAGCCTCTCAGACAGTCGAGCTATTCAACGAAAAGCTACTCGTTCGACCAGAAAACACAAAACAACTTCTCGTCCGAAGAGCGGGGAAAACAAACACCGCGGGTGTGTGGCAATTTCTCGAAACTCTGCGCACTGCTTCTGGGAAGTGACATTTAGTAGAACCAGTACCTCGGAACTCCATTGGACTATTCTGGAGAGAAGAAAAAGAAGTAGTGGTTGACTGAGAATTTTGATCATCTACTGAACTGTTACGCGAGAAATTCTGCAAATCTAGCCCCATAAAACAAGTCAAGCTAATCGTACAAGAGTGAAGGCAAAGTAAATAAACGAAGTCAACCTTGAGGTCACCCTTCAAAGCCCAATCGAACCGGTAAATATTGCTGGAGTAAGGTGCGCCCTTTTTTGACTTTTAGGGTATCATGCATTTTACCTAAGTGGCTCTCCGACCCGATTATAGAACCAAATGCCAGTTTTCTACTTCTAATTCGAGGGAAAACACTTCCGTCACGAGAAAGCAATGAGTAGGGCTTCTATAGCAGAACATATTTGGGAAGTGTCACACAATGTATCCTCTTTCAATGTTGACCTACGCATAATCTTTGCCTGTCTAACCGCGTCATTCTTTGAATTTCAGAAGCCTATCTTACAAGTCCCCAGTTGTTTTCTCATTCATAACTCGAACTCTGTTGTTTGAGTGAACATTTTCTCCATTGCACAGACAAAGTGACTTTAAAAAGAGAGGGGGATATCTCAAATGGGAAAAACCGACACCGGTAGGGTATTTCGCATTCATGTTTTCTTGGGG